GCCAGGTGATTTCTCCAGAGAGGGCTGCTGCCCAGGCAATCTCTGACGCAACCTCTGGGCACCCCTGGAGAACACTCCCCTTAATTATACATAAGCAACAGCAGGGATAACATTTTAGTCCTCTCACGCTGCAAGAAATTGCCTATATATGAAGTTCACCCATCTTAACATTCAAAAAACAAACATATGTGCATGCGGTCTGATTTAAATAACTACATTCATCTCAAGGTTAGTGATTCTTTAAAGGAAATGAATACAAGTAAGGAAACAAAAACTGGCCCAGATTTGTACGTGTACTTCAGTGGGGGATACATGTATATTGAATGGGGACTATCGCAGACCAAACATACATCTTCCCTATCCTCAGCATGTGCAAGTGCAAACAAACACACAAGCAAAACTTTTTGCTTTTTGCTGCACAAGCAGAATCACACACGTACAGGCCCACATAATAAAGGCGCGCACAGTAGCCGAGCTGTTGCTTCAGCAGCACAAGTCGGCCAGCCTGGCTGGCCCTTGTTTCTCCCAGTAAGATTCCCCCCCCAATTTTTTTTTCCTCTTTTACTATTCCCATTTCAATTATTATCGTGGTTCCTCCATGTGGAAACCTCATTGTGACTAGTGTATTTGTCTCATGGCACTGATGACCCCACATAACATTTTCAAGCCGTTAATACGCAGGGTTTTGGCCCTGTTTTATTGGGCATAGGGGGCCACTGAATGAGGGACATTTATGTTCTCCGCAGACCCATCTGTTTTCAACTGGCTGGCAAAGCCACTCACCAATCCCTATACATTAGTCTGTGGTCCGCGTTCCCTATACCACCCAGTCACTGCTCGTGTCTGCCCTGATGAGAGTTGGACAGGTAAACTGCTTAATTGCACCCATTCACCCACTTTTACAGCCCCATTCTTAATAGGCCATGGAAGTGGCCCATCATTAGCCCCGGGCCAATGAGATGTTGAGCTTCAGTGGGTACGGGTGGGGCCGGGTGACAGGACATTACCTCACACACCAAGGCTCCCACCAGCATTCCAGTAAACCATGAGATGGTGCTTGGAAACTCTAATACTAGTTTCTCTCCGTTTCCCTTTTTCTCCACAAATGCCTCACAGATGCTCACCAGTGCTTTTTCATACTCAAATACTCATACTTCAAATTCATGTACAGTATGTGCATGCCACAAAGGGACATGGAGGGGGAAAAAAGTAACCTTTGTTGGGGATAGACATGTTTTAGGAGGTGCCATGATGGGATAAATATTCTTTTAGGGGAAATAAATCCCCTTTTAAACTTTTATGTGTTTTGTATGTGTGAAATTGGAATCAGAATGAGAGTTAGATTCAGCTTTATTGGCCATGTATGCTCAGCCGACATGGAATTTAACTCATTTACTCCCCACGCACTGTACACCACAGTTTCTTTATACAATTAAATGTGTTGTTGTGTGTTGCAAGACCCTAAATCAGAGGGTCAGACAAGTCCTGCGTTGATCTAAGGTTCCCTCGTTGCTCGTGTGCTCCTCTAATGTTTGGAGGATACAAAGAGGACCCTTTATGAGGCCTCCTAAATGTTTGAGGGCCTCAATAGTCTTTTGCGAACATGTGGCCGATGTTTGTGTATGTGTCTGTGAGATTTATTGATTTCAATCCAAGACATTTTGACAATCTGGAAGCTTCAACATCAGTATTCCAGCCAAGGAGGAAGTGTGTGTGTGTGTGTTTGTATTTCAGTCTGTGTATATGTTTGTACATGGATATATGCTCTGTGCGTACTTCCTCAGTAGAGGTGATCCAACTTGACCCTGGCACTAGATATTCATCACAATGGGAGAGACTGTGGCACATTACGCCATTAGAGGCATTATTATTGTTCACCTGAAGCACAATTTACCAATCTCCCTCTTTACAAGTGTTTTGCTTTATGCGCGTAGTAAATGTTTTTACAGTACAGACATATTTCCAAGCTAATGAGGCTGACGGTTGCACTCTTTCTCCTCACCTTTATCAGGTTTCCCCTCGGCTCAGGACACTTAGCTCTCCTTTTATCTGAAGTGGTGATTTACAAACACCAGTGTGTGTCTACAGACCAGAGATTGGCTGTTTTCTGCCCGTCTGACTATCCAGCTGGTACAAATTAAGACCATGTGTGTAGCTGTGTGCGATTGTGGGAGTGTGTGCTTCAGAGTTAAGATGTTGAACTCACGGCGAGAAGTTGTTTTGCTTCAAATACATCTCAACATTTGAATTATAGGCCTGAGAGTGTTCATCCTTCCTATAGATCAGAACCTGCATTAAAACATTGTTTTTGCTGGTCACTTGCAACAGCTTTATTCATCCATTTGTGCCTCACAAACTTCTTTTTGCTACGTCCTTCTCCGCCAGAGAGACTTGTTTTGAACTGTGTTTTGTCAACAGCTCCTGCTGTGATATTGTGGTTTTAATCAAGCAAATCCATTTGAAGGTCGGCTGTCAGGTGTTATATCTTTTTTTATCTCTTTTCTACAATACAACAGTTCTCTGTGTGATATTCACAGCTTTAATGCAGCAATAAACAGCCCTTTCAATGTAAAGACACAGTGGAGTAATGTTCACCTGATCAGAGAACGATGTCGCTCTTCCATATATTATTTCATTATTATTTGGACTTACATATAAGTCCAAATAAGTTCCAATAAGTAATGTCTTTGATGTTACTTTAATATTTCTAGAATAAGGGACGGGCTGTTTGAAAAGAGAAAATTGCATCTGTTTTGCTGTTGGGAATGCATTCATCACAGTCCTGGATTACCACCTGATAATAGTAGAAAGGAGATCAATAAACCCGTATGTACGATCTCCTGTAAGCTGAATTCTAGTTTTCAACTAGGAGAGAGCTCGCCACATAGAAAATAACTGACTGGATCTAAAATAGCTTTTACACATTTTAGAAAACATATGAAGAAAAAACAATTTAGATTAAAATCAACTAAAATATTTGACATAAATAACTAATAATGCAGATAAAGTTATCCAATTTTGTGATGTCAGATTTAGGGAAAATTTGTGTGAATTAGTGCTGTTTATCAGGTACATAATTTGTTCTCATTGTTATATTAGTGTTTTTATCACAAATGCGTTGACAGATTGGCTGCTTAATATACACACCTTTTTAAAGAAAGATTTTTGTGACGCATGTCTCTACTGGACTATTTCAACAACAATAGCAAGGAAAAAAGCCTTGAAAAGTGTTTTCTATAAACTTGATCACGGACCTAAACCCAAAGACAACATTTAATCTTGCGATTTCACTAAAAAAAATCTCATTTGAAAGCTTGACTCCGATCTGCATGACTGCTGCCTCTTTGGGATTTGCATGTTCTTGCTGTGCAAAAGCGAGGTTTTTTAAACCAATTTCCTGCTCCGGTCCAAGGTTAATTGGCAACTCTAATTTGCCCGTATGTGGGAAAGGGAGTGAGATAGTGGAAACCGTCTGTCTCTCTGCGTCAGCCCTGTGATAGACTGGCATTCAGGATGTACCCAATGTGTACTTTTCACCCTGAAAAGGAAAAGTAGCTATGAATGGATCAAATTAGAGTGCATGGAACTGAAAGTCTTGCCTGGCTGACTGTTGGATGGGGTGTAACACGTATTACCGCCCCTACTCCTACCCCTCTTTTAGTGACTAATTAAAATCAATGACAGTTCTATTTAGAGTGCTTAGACTCTTGCCATAGCCGGGGAAGGGGTGGAGGAAGTGATAAGGAGTCATGGGAGACTTGCCTCTCACTGCTGTGACACTTTACGGAAGTGTTTTGGCAAGCCGAGCCGTCAGTTCGTTGTTAGAGAAACACACCAGGAGAGGATGGAGGCAGAATGACGGAAAGAGGAGTAGTTCCGCCCATGTGTATACACGTGAAGATTTCCACCTTTCCTGTTCCGAAAAATGGTTTCAAAAGAAAACAGCTCCTTATCATCAGTGTCAACACCATGACTTGCAAACAGATCTTATTGGTTGGTTAGTTAATTTACATGGTTTTCGGATGTATGCAAAATGCAGTAAAACCCGGCTGCACTCAAGACAGGCAAAAGTCTCACAGCGGTTGATCTCAGGTGGTTGTCACCTGCATTCCTCATTTCTGTCACTTCATTTCTGAGCAGAAAAGGTACTGTCATCAGATTCAGGGGACAGATATATAGACATATAGCTGGTCCGGGCAGTTTTCCATGGTGACAAGATCCAGCCTCTCTAGCAGAACTCTCGTGTTACTGGTGTCTCATTTCACCTGCTCAGGACAGCGGGGGAAACGCGGCGTCCTTGGGTTTGTGCCCTCTCTCCCCTTTGCCATTGTTATGTATTGCTCAATAGTATTTTTGCTATGTGTCTACCTTTTTAGTTTTTCTTAGAGTGGTAAAGTGAATATTAAAATGCACCAATCACCAAAACTGAGCTTACCTTGCAATATTTCCAAGCAGCAATAATCAATATCAACCTTTTTGTAAGATTACATTTACTGGTACTTCTAACATAACGGTCATAACGTCTTTATTGTTTTACCAAGTGGAGGGATAAGGGGCTTGAGGCATCTGACAGGTTGCCGGGTTTGTTGACAAGAAACAAACAGTACCTCACAAAAAGCACGTCAGCAATAGTTCAGGCCAAACCGCTGACAGCTGTGGAATAACAGGGGTCACAGCATTTGAGGCCAAGACGGTAACCACAAGTTAGTTTGCTACTCGGTCGATGCTTATTTTAATCTAGTTTTAGCATGCTATCTCCAGGACGTACTTTTTTTTTAATGTTAAGTTTGAGTTGTGGTTTCCCGTAATGAGAGAGGAGGCTCTAACAACAGCAACCAGTTCCATCACTTAGCTTTTAAAAAAAGTAAAGACGCTAATAGCCTAATCTGTTCATCTTATAATACCTTTTTTTGAACAACAGCATCTCTGAAACTTAAAATTGAAAAAGGTGATGATTTATTAAATATTACCCATTGCCCTTTTTCCTCATGTTTCTCTAGACATGTCAGTCCAAAGTGTTCGATCTGTCAGATGGAGTGTCCCAGTATGCGTGGTTCCCCTGCCGCGAGGCTCATAAGTCAACATGGGGATATCCTAACTACTGGCTAAAGGTGAGACATGTCTGAAAAGAATTGCGCATTTTTTGGTGCAAAGTTCAATCAATTGAAAAATAACACTCAGGTGAATACTATACTTAACTTATGTCACCTAATATTGAGGCCATTTTAGAAAGGTGAGTGATATATTGAAAAAGGGAATATATCTCTCTCTGTCTCCATATACAGTACATAACAACATCATTTAAATAGGAAAACATTAAAGTACTTCTAACACTAAGATACAGCATACAGTTACCGTCAAGTTATTGAAAGTTTATACCTATACTTTTATATTTCCTGTTTTTCTTCACTCAGGCCCACTTTTCTCATCCCATGGTGGCGGCCGCAGTGATTATACATCTGGCTGCTGATGGGACTGGTTACCTCGACCAGACGCAGTGTAACATCACTGTTCAGCTGGTGGACACCAAGGAAGGCATCCACAGTCTAGGTGAGACTGCTTCTTGTATATGGCGCATGCCCCTCATATCCATCCTTTCATTAAAACCCTATATCACTCAGCATCTTCGCTTCTTCTTGTAGCCTACACAGCTCTGCTGAATTCAATTCTAAGCTTCAGTTAACATGGACCACCTATCCCTTTGATTCTCTGCTTCAATTTCAACACATTTTTGTATTCTCTCGTCGTCCTTTCCGCATCCCTGATGTCCCCTCCACAGGCGAGTGGCGCCTCAGCTGCCGCACCAACCCTCTGGTGATCCCAGTGAGCCACGACCTGTCGGTGGCCTTCTACCACACCAAGGCCATCCTGGTCATGTTCGCCTCCCGCCTGGTGGCCATCTCCGGGGTGGGACTGCGCTCCTTCCAGTCGTTCGACCCCATCACGATAAGCGGTTGCCAGAGCAACGAGATCTACAACCCCACAGGCCAGAGGTGAGCTTGAAAAAAAATTGGAATTGGAAGATGAGAGCTAGATTATGTTACACACACATTATACGATTACATGCGCATGTCTACACACAAGCACAACCTTGCAAAAATATTTTGCCCTAAAAGATATCGGATACTTGATTAAAAATAAGTATTTTCCAAATGTCGATAGAAGTACACATATTCACTCTTTTTATGGAATGCGTTGAAGTCATCAAAATCAATAGAATATGAAAAGATCCATGCGAGGCAAAATTCTCTGTATTTTACTCTGAAGTCAGTTTATTTTTACGGTAATTTCTGTGTGACGAAAACAATTTATAACCCAGCATCTGAATCAGAAAACAAAGATAAAACGTGTGTTTGTGCAGTGTTAGACATGTCTAGAACTGTCAAGACCCAGAAATTACCCAGAAACAAGTATCACCTATTTAACTGTAAATTCTAAATGTTTTGAGACTCCACTACTTAATGAAATAATGATAACTACCAACCAAATGTTGTCTAGTGACTTACAAACACAGCAGACCACACAAGGAGACACAATTTGCCAATTTCCACACCACTGTCATGCATGAGACAATTCATACTTATGATGCTTCCACAACCATTGCAACAAGAAATACACTAATAGACGCCACAATGGATGGTTGGTGGCCTGCGCAGAGAGATAGAGATGTTTGTGGCTTTTGTTGTGTGCCAGTGAGACATCCAGCACCTAAATAGATTAAAACTTCTGTGTATCTGCTCCGGCCAGGGAATTATTATTGTTACCACACGTTCAAACGCACACACACACACACACACAAAAACTGGTTTAGTTCTCCCGGAGTTCTCGATCGGAGTGACTTTGTTTCTCTTGTAATCTCTCCTCTTCATTTAATTTCTAGAGGCTTTTAAAAAAGAGATTTGTTTTTCTATTATGGCAAGTCAGCCGGACACGCTTACTTATTTTAAAATGTTTGAACTTAAACATGCTACAACCTGATGTTATTCTAAGGTATTATGATCAGTTATTATAAACTGGTCTGTCTTTACAACACACGGTAAAGAAAGCTTGCCCGGCTTTTTTGTCCGTTTCTTCTCTTCGACTGACTCCAACTAATCACATGCATTGTGTTGTCTGTCACATGCGTTGTGTTGTCTATACCCACTTTTTCATCATCCCATCTTCACTCCTAATTCCTTGTCGCTTTCCTCGCTTTTCCACCTCCTCCCCTTCAGCGTATGTTATCCAGAGCTGTCTTCTCGTCCTTTACTTTCACATCATGTTCCTTTTCCTCTAACTATTTGCCATTCTCCCCTTTTTGTGCCTCCTGCTCCCACTTTCACTCTCTCCTTCTCCTGGGCTGAGCAGCACATTTCCCGTAATACTTACGCTTCTACAAAACACCACATCCCCTTTTCCCTGAGTTGTTAACAACAGGAGCTATTAAGATGACTCAGTTTAATGTTCCATGGTCGTCTGCAAACTCTTGCACATATATGTTTTCCTGTTTTATCCATTTTGGTTTTCTATACCATCAACTCTGACTGTGTTGAAAATGTTGGAGTTTAGTTTTTCTTCAAAAGTTTTCATCTTTTTTTCCAAACATAGTATTTCGTTATTCTGTAGACTGCGCTTCTCATTTGCAGGGGAGGCGGATTGATTTACAAGTTGTTAATTGTAATTCATGTCAGAAATTCCATAGTGACTAGTAGAAAACCACAAAGTGATTTTGTTCCAAGCCAAAGTGGCCACACAGGAGGCTCGTTTGTCCTCAAAAATCCCAGACTTTAGGGACTGCCACGCTCCTGTTTTATAAACAGTCTTCACCTGCTCAACTTTAAATTTGTCTATGTGAGTATTTCAATTATAAGTTTACAATATAACTTTTGCTTTTGTACTTGAGACATACACTAGGTGCATTAATTAAAAGGTATGCATCATTAATACTGATAGAAGCATAGAAAACAAATGGATGAAAGGATCAATAAATTATATTCTTGCAGGTTTGAGTTTAACAATGTTTCTTTTATCCACTCTGTGCCCACATAGCTTCTCCTCTTTCTTGCATTCGCTGTTGGCTTCTAAGGGAACCCGTCGCCGTAGAATGCGGACTGTTGTAAAAAAAGTGCCTCGGGCATCGAAGCCTTCGAAGCACATTAAATGCCATCTCCATCAAGCTACCAACATAAATCTCTGGCCAAACTGCTATTGTAGCCTACACATAATATTATTCCGTCACTGTTAATTCACAAATTATACTCTGCTGTGTGTGTGTGTGTGTGTGTGTGTGTGTTAATACAGACATCCCTTTAGGCACATAGCAAATATGGCAATCTTTTCTTCATGTGGTTTATTGATTTGAAATGTTAAGCAGTCATTGATGGATGGATGTGGTTTACTCAATACATGCTTTTCTGTTTGTGAGGAAATGTGTAAATACTTCCATGTTGAAGTGTCTGCAATGTGATGTTTGTTGCATATTTAAATGTATTTTTGAGTTTATTTTTCTCTCTTTCTCTTTCTTTTTCTCTTATTTCCCAACCCTCCCTCCCACCTACACACGCCCGCACACACACACACACACACACACACACACACACACACACACACACACACACACACACACACACACACACACACACACATACACACACAGCCTCACTTTTAGTTGTGTATATTATTCGCGCGAAGGAATTCACAGCCATAAACTACTAAGCCGCATGGCTTTGCTAAGTGCATTAGCCCTGGCCCGCCACTTTTACAAAGGAGACAGATGCTCCCTCCTTAGTCACTCTGGCAGGGTCACGCCAATCCCACTCGATCAACGACATACACAAGAGCTAGGAAGAGACACTGCCACCCCGATTATGTTACACCGCACGAACCCCTAACTGAGAGCTAAGATACACACAGAGACACATTGAATGCATGAATGCACACATGCAAACGCTTACGTGCAAATACATTTCTTCAGCATATTGGAACATAGGTGCAAATTGGCGTGTACAAATGCACACGTGAACAAGCAATGAGGCAAACTTGAGTACAGAAATGGGCATAGGAAAAAAGTGCAAACGCGCTTTATTTCTGCCTTCTTTTCTACCTTCATTTTTTTTGTCGCCTGCAAAAAAAAACAAGGCTTGGCACGGCAAGCCTCTCGGGAGGATGACATCATGAACATCCAGGTAGATGAGTGCTGCAACGAGGAGCGGAGACACTACAGCCCTCTCCTCTTGTTGGCTTTCCACACAAATGCATGCACACACACGCACACACACACACACACACACACACACACACACACACAAACACACACACACACCAAGCATAAGCATAATACGGTTTAGTGTCTTGCCGAGCATGCTGCACCACCACCTCAAACAGTCACTGTGTATCGCTACTCCACCGGGACGATGACATCATTGCATAGTGTCTGCTCCCTCTCCCTCTCCCTCCCTCGCTCCATCCCTGCTCATTTGCACACATTGAAGTCTCTTTCAAAGGGCTGAGAAATTACTACCGCACCCTCACAGCAGCACACATTTAATGCGTTCTTCTCAATACCAACACACATACAGTAAGTAGAGAGTTCTGCATGAACAGGACACATATGTGGACAAATACAGAATGTAGATGCATGCACGCCATAAGTAAACAAACAAACAGACAAGGGAGTTGACACCACATCGTAAACCGTTTGGGTTTTGGGCCAAGCTGCTGTATGAACCTACCATCTATCTCCATGCTCTGCAAAGAAGTCTAATGCTCTGAGTTATTGGATGTTCAAGATGACCAAGATAGCTTTGTTTTCATATACATTGATATGCTGCTGCATGTGGGGGAGTTTTACATAATACGTCCATTCCTGAAATGTTCAGGAACATGTCACTCATTGCCGAAAACGTGCCGGTACAACTGGTCATTTGTCAAAAATACATTTTCACGTGGGGCAAGCAAACCACCACAGGACTCCAGTAATTAAATCTGATATATCCCGAAAAAAGATCACTTTTCCCTAAATTTGGTGAATATTTAATACATTAAAAGAACGTGGGTACCTTGAAAATCAACCACCACGTTCCGTCTTTTGCTGTGTGCACGTGAAAATGGCCTCACCATATCTTCTTCTGTTGAATTTTACGGCGGTTAGCGGGCATTACTGCCCTCTGCTGGCCGTCTCCTTTGCCCCGTTTCCTCTGGCGTTCTGGAAACATCCCCTCCTTAGATCTGCTGTCTAGTTTACCTATCTTTCTCTCGGTTATAGGTTGTTACGGCTGGCACTGATGACATTTTTATTGCAAATTGTGTTTTCCTTTAACAAACTGTATAATCTTCACAGCTGTCGCCCATAGAAAAATCCCATCAAAACACAATTACCTCCAGCGTGTTCGATTTCCCTTCCATTTCCTTCTAATGACCAAAACACCCGCTTCGAATTTTATTGAGTAAATGGTGTTTTGTTAAACACATTTTAGAAATAAGAAATAAGACTTGTATAATTCGAACCATTAGATTCATTATAGAGTTAAGGCCTATTAAGAACCATATCAACACGTAATTTTGGTCCTACTCACATGAGAGGGAAGTCAGCAAGCTCAGCTAAGGAAAGATTTTCATGGGAGCCCAAATGCAGAAAAACCACACACGATGTCCTCAGGCTTGGCTCTTCTGCGGTTTTCCGCCACTCTATAGGCTGTGCATGTAAGGAGAATCATCTTGTATTTGACCTTCATCTGGGCACTGACTTAGGTTAGGTTTGATCCAGATGTGCTGCATTACAGCTGGTGAGGATGTGTTGAATGCGGAAGACAAATATCAGAATGGAAACTCTAACCTGTATCAAATTGTTCCGCATCAGTTGTTTATTGATATCTTGTTATACACAAAAAACAAAACAAATCTGAATTATTTAAAATTAATCAATATTAAACATTAAAATTCATATCTCTAACAGGAATTTCACATATCATATTATCAAAGTGCAATGTCTTAATACCCAACTTTGTCTATGCACTAACATGTTTTTTTAGGGCCTTTCGAATTCAGTTCAATTCATTCGGATTTAGGCAGAGTAGCCTATGGTCGGACAGAAATAGTCAACTGTACATTTACACTCACAGTAGACATACACAGGAAAAAACTTTATACACTTTGACCCTCGCGCATGCTTGATTAAACGTAAAAACAACCTGGAAGATGCATGTACGCATTCAGTGTGTGTGTGGGCACTCATGTACTCAGTGCATACAAAACAGTTTTACTCAGATGTTTTAAAATGGAACACTCTTGAAACTCACACACCCGTTTTGCAAATCACCCTTCTATTTGCAAACATATTCAAGGTCAACACATTATTGTTGGATAGATTATTCCACATTTCTCCCTTCCATGATTGACTCATTTAACTCTACGCCCGGTTGTTTTCCAGCCGGCTCTCACGTGTTACGCATATGTTACTTTGTTGGAAATCCAAATGTGAAGGGAGCTTATTTATTTTGAAGGAACGTGATACTGTTATGTAGTATAACATAATGGGATCAAGGTTAGAGATAGAAATACGTGGGAAGAGAGAGGTTATGAAGTAATAGATATGAAATTCTAACTGAATCCAGCTTGTGTGTCCTTAAAGTGTAGCCAAAATGTACGTAATTAAGGTCAACCAAAACAGGGTGTAATTCTTGTAGAAACACAGGTTTGTGTTTTTTGTTTTGTGGGGCAAAGGTTGAAATGCTGTTACAACTTTGTTGTGAGATGTCTCGGCACTGCAATCAATTTAAGCATCTGTGTTGCTTGGAGCTTTTTCATGGAGGAAGAACATGAAAAACAGTTGTACAGGTTTGGATTATGCAAGGGCTCCCCGTTCCGGTTTCATCTCGACAAATATCCTCTATTTCTATAAGCAGTATACTTAAGTCTCGGGCATGTTTAGGTTAAAAATGAGAAGGAACAAGAGAGACATTTACCAGGCGCTAATCAATGTTTTTTTTTTTTATTACATTGGTTCAAATTCTCATTACATCCCTACAGCAATCTATATAGGAAATGCTCTGCCAAAAAATACAAATCTGTTATCTGTGGTTATTGGAGAAATGTAATTACCCCTTCAATCGTTTAATTAGGCCTGGATTGAGCCAAGTTTGGAGCAAGTGCTTCTAGCTACTTTCATTTGAAGAGAGTTGGCAAAACCTGGTCGTTTGGAAACAAAACACATTCATTTTGGATTTTCAAAATCGAGATTTTCTCAAAATGACCAACCCTAGCTTTAATATTGCACACTATTCACAATGTTCTCATAACTCTTTATCTGGAATGGATACCCACTCATTTTTGTACACGGTGTATAAACATTTAGTTCTCTCACTCACACACACACACACACAGAATTAATGTAAGACATGTGGGCTGTACGAGATCAGTCAGACTTTGCTAGGTCATAGCTCCTTCAGCAGTAACCTGAATGGCTGTTATTCCAATCAGGGGCTGATAGGTCCATTATAGGAATGAGGGGGACATTGATTTATTATACCCGGCCCTATACCGTGCTGTAGACTTGAGCTGCTCTTTGTTTATCATAGTAGAGTGGTGTTTCCAGTGTTAGGTTTGATTTCTGCCATGAGTCATTTACTTGCAGATTTTTCATGTTCTCCCCATGTGTGGATTTCCTCTGGGTTCTCCAGTTTCCTCCCACATTCCAACAACATTCAAGGACCCAGTCACATATGATGTAGTTTGTACATTTGAAAAGGTGACACAGTCGACTTTGACTTTGATTCTGAGAAGCTTGGGAAGGCGGAATCACAGGAAATGTGTGTTTTTTCTGTTTACAGGCAACTCCATAGTTGACTAGTGATCACTGACCCATGCGGTCAGGTTGTGCCATGAGCCGGTGGAATGTCACATTAGCTAATCGTATAATCATTATCTTTATTTTACACCTAACCTTAAAGCTGGTATTCTAGTTGTGATGGATTGCCGCCTTGTGTGTAGTCACACTTCCACCTATGTCAATGTGTTTTGTGTTAGGGCTGATTGTGCAGTTGTTGGATATCAGTGGTCTAAGTGGCGTGACCCGACCTTACAAATGCTATCGTCAGTTACTCGAGCTGCCGGGCAGCCTGTTAGGCTCACTGACGTACAGTAAAACTAAGCCGGGTCAAGCTTTGTGAGTTTTCACAAGGACTGGAGACTTGTTGAAGTGGGTCCTGAATTCCTGTAGTCAGTTTGTTGTGAGGATTCACGGGACGTGTGCGACATCAATCTGTCATATCAATGCAAAGTGAATGCACATTCGCTGTCTGACCCTCCGATTTGATGTCTTGTCTAATTTACAGTCGGCTACTGCAGTGACTATCACCTGTGCAAATGGGAAGTGGAACAAACAGGTGTCATGTGAGCCTGTGGACTGTGGTCTGCCAGACAAATACCATGTCCATCCTGCGCTTTTTGACTTCCCTGAGGGCACCACTTACGGAAAGAAGAGCACCTTCCAGTGCCGAGAACCTGCCCAGCTCGTAGGTAAGAAACGGGGAGCAGCATCCACAAATGTATGAAGACATATATGTAAATATATCAATATATATATTGATATATTTTACTGATTGATCAGATTTACTATCAGAAGTGCAAATTAATTAAATAATTTTTTCTTTAATTTTACTAACAATGTAACACATAAGGATCCGAAATGAATTATAGTTTTTTGATGCCCATGTATAATTCCTCAACTTTTACAAAACATCCTAAAATACTCTTTTGAATAAATTATCTCATACATATTTATTTTAGTCTCTTAATTGTTATAAATATATATCCCGTACCACTCAAAATATTGGAAACATTTTCTCATTCGATTCACTGGCAACGTGTGTCCAAACTATTTTTTTATCCTGTCCACCTCCCTTCCCCAGGTACGAACAACTCCCTTACCTGTTTAGAAGACGGTCTCTGGTCCTTCCCGGAGGCTCTTTGTGAACTTCGCTGCCCAGCCCCCCCTGTCGTACCCAATGCTGTTCTGCAGACCAAGCGCTGCAATGACACTGGCCTTAAAGTGGGCACGCTCTGCAAGTACAATTGCAGGCCAGGTTACCATGTCAGCAACAAACCTAAGAGGTAAAGAAAGACATTTGGTTGTTGTTTATTAATTCATTTAGTTTTCCTCAGTCAATACTTTCTCTTTATATGGACCTCCATATCACCAAAACAAAAGTTTCCCCATGTCCACAAGTCTAGATATTAACCCTCTTCCTTCCTTTTAGGCGTGCTTTTAAGCGCCAGTGCACGGAGGACGGCAGCTGGCTAGAGGGGGCATGCGAGCCGGTGACTTGTGACTCCCCACCTCCCATCTTCCACGGCTCCTATCGCTGCACTGATGGCTTCCGCTACGACAGCGTCTGCAAACTCAACTGCTCTGATGCCGCCGGTAATTCTGCCACTGCCGCCAAAGGACGCCAAACGGTGAGGCTGCTGCACGCTCCATGCAAGCAGGTCCGTCCATCTCTTTCCTCTCTTTCTATTCTTGCTTTACCTTTATGTGGGTCTTCTTTTTGTTATGTGTGTAAAACATTCTTTCTTTTCCTACCGCGTTTGCAGCCTCACTGTGAATCGCTTTTGCTACCGTGACAAAACGCGCGAATAATCGAGTCAAATAATTCATTTTTTATATTTGATGACCGTTTAGCGCTTTGCAAAGCAAGCCCTGTTTGGTTTCAATATTGTTTGTTTAAAGCACATAATTGTAACATATATCGTCTTGGCAGATAAGATGCAACATTGCAACCCAAATTTAACCTATTCCCTAATGAACTCTTTTTTCATGTTTTTATGGTTATCTTTTAAGATTCCCCTCTCTGTCAGGGCACTTGCCTTTCCCTTCCACATTCTCTCCCTGTCTCCCTCAGCCCTACTCAATTTGAAGCCCTACTAATCAGATTGTAATTGATTTTCAGAATTGTCCTGCTGCCACAGACTTTTTGAAATGTATACACCTTTTAATCTAGTATGCCTGTAAGGTGTTTCTGGTTGGATGTCTGATAAAATTTGGATGGATTTCCTCCTTTGCCGCGTAATACCATCTTAATGTTCTTGACCTGCAACGGTTTTGCCTGTTAGTATGTATTTATAATGGTTTTCTTGTCAATACATTTGTTAATCACAGGGCGCAGGGTCCAATGCCATCCGTTGTAAGAAGGACGGAACCTGGACAGGGTCGTTCCGCTTGTGCCCACACAGCAAAGGCCAGTGTTCTTTACCTCAAAACCTCCATCATAGCCTCCAGTACTCATGCAAGCAAGGACACGGCATAGGTATGCACACATTTATCTTTCTGAAACAACCTATTTCATTTGTATTATTTGTCATTTTTCATTGTTCATTTTACTCACACTTCTTGTTAGGTCTGTTGTCATTCTTCATTGTTAAAATGACCATTTTGTAAACATCTGGATAACAATCATCTATTGGCTAAACCACCGAAAAGTAACCAAGCATGTTTAGTATAGCTCAGTATCATAATCATTTGAAAGTAAGGAGGGGAGGAATACATCTTTGGAAATCGTTTTTGGATACTTTAATCGGTTGCGTTTCTCTGATTTTCTCTCGCTCACACACACTCACACACACACACACACACACACACACACACACACACACACAGGCGAGGAGTGCGAACTAACGTGCAGAGAGGGTAACAACGACGTGGTGATCCTCCCGAGCAACATGACATTGGAAAATGTTCTTATTGAACATTGGAGGAACCCGCACAGAGTCAAAGTAAGTCTGTACGTGTGTTTGTGTCTACATCACAGCTCTGGCAGACGCACTTCACAAAGTTCTGCGACGCACAACTCTCCTGTAAGGAATTTCACATATGACGTGAACATCCTGGGTCTACTTCCCGCACATCGCAACCCTTCAAACATTTCTATTCTATTTTTAACTGGCAGTGTGAAAACATGCTGCCGCCCTTCTGTGTTGATGTCCTCAATACTTTCTTGGAGACACAAAAAGTTTTAAAGCTTCTTTGGGAATTAATTTTTGTCTATATTTTTTGCATTTCATTTCCCATGTATTTGTCCTATCCAGACATATAGTGTAGTTACCATTTCAAATACATCATAAATGCTATATATATATAGTGTAATTTTCTGAAATCCATCAATGTCGCTCACTGGTTTGTGACCTTATTTCATGAGACTATACTGATCATGTACTGTTTGCTTACACTGACAGGTTACAGGGCTGAGATGTTGTAAGATGTTATCGGTGTAATTTGTGTTTTTATGCAGCTTGGGGGTTTTGGGGAATACAGTGTGTGTCTGTGTGTAAGTGGAGTAATTCAATACACCAACTTTTGTAATCACGCGTTTCACTTTTAAGCTTAATGTCCCTTTAGCTGTAGAGTTATAGACTAAATAGGCTCACATTTGGTAACCTTAGACGGATAGAAGAAAAGCCGCGGCCGACTAAAGGAACACATTGTATTTTGCAGTGTATTTTTTCCTACAACTCCATTTGTTTTGTTTCAGAGTCACACTGAGTCAGCAGCTTTTTGTGGTGGATGTTAGCAGAGAGCGGTGGCTCGGGCCACGTGGACATGAAATGATCTGTTTTTCATGGATTTTTGTAAATGATATGATTTTTTTGTTCCGTGGTAATTGGAGACCTGAGGCAGAGGATGGCATAAGAGAAGTCGGAGAGAAGTGAGGGTGGAGGGCTGAAGGGTTTCCAGGGTTAGGACATGGAAGAGGGAAAAGTTGTTGTTGGTGGTACTAAGGCGTGTCCCATATTTTGTGCTGTCATGCTGCCTGTCAACTGTTTGATTCCAAACGGGCTCATTTTACAGTAAACGTACACATTCACACATACACAGTAACATTTGCAATTAAAGTTGTGTTTGAGTACTATCAATCCTTTATGGTCCACTGTAATTCTCGAAGCAGAGAAGTAGATGCAACAGGAAATAGAATTGTCATCATTCATGACTTGATTTATTGCCTTTAAACTGGTTGTATTTTAGTTCTGAGTGTGACCCAAAAAACAAGAATTCTCCCCTGCTTTCCCATCTCCACCTCTTCCTCTCTCTTTTTTTTCTGTCCCTCTAACAATTCTGCGCCCCCAGCACCCTCCTCCCCCTTTATCAGCAAAATGACCCTGTGGAGCTTGCTGTGGAATTAGTCATTTTCTACCTGGCATGACCTCGTCTGTGGTGGCGCTGAGATAGGGATCTATTTTTGTGTGGTATCAGCGCCCCGGGGAGGTTTCAGAGGGTGAGGATCCTACACGTAGTGAGGGGTGAGGCCAGGCCACGATCATGGATTATCATGATTTACGGCCTTGCAGAGAGAGGAAAAAAGAGTGAGAGAGAGAGAGAGAAAAAGAGAGAGAGGGGAAGAGATGGAGTTTCTGGATGACATCATCGTTGCAGAGCATGAAAAAAAGGAGCATGAAAGTACACTAGTTGCAAAAAGTTTCTTCCATAAGACAAACCGATGTGCTTAATCTTCCAGCGTTCCTGCATCCTGCTATGCAGCACTACATCGCAGTAGGCATTGGATGCTCTGTCGTTCTTTCTTTCCACCTTCAAACCCCCCCATCTTTGTTTTTTGCATTGATTTGCTGACAGCACTGAAATGAAAAATACCTTAGTTTGCAGCAACAACAACATAGCACGTCAACGTTAGGAGGTATTAGGGCACTGTGGGTCTGAGAAATGGACCATCTAAGGTCAGACAGTCCTTTGCCTGTGAATCACACTTTTGGTCATGAACACAGCTGTCCCAGTCTGGGGTCACGCTCGTGCCGAAAGCAAAATCCTTCTCCACCTGCGACTGCTTCACTGGACTCATACAGTATCTACAAGACGGCCCATACGCCCGACACAAAAGGCACACACACACACTATATGCATGCATGAAGTAATATATGCATTTTCATGTGCTTACAGTTAAGACCGACATGAGTACATTTTGCACATGCAGGTTCACATTCGGTGCAGAGAGCTGCTCGAATGGACACACAGCTTTTCTGCATTTGAATGAAGATCACAGTGGGAGAACAGGAATTCCACACATTCTGCAAAGATATTGGATAATATTGTGCTTTTTACCCCCCTCTCTCTGTTTATTGTATTTGTGTGTGGGCGTGAGTGGGGGTGGATGGGGGTTATTTGAGTGTGTGCAGCTAAGAAGATGCTTGTGGCTTAAAAAATGGGAATAACCCAAACCACTGAAAGCACCAGTATAACGTTATTAATTGCGCTCCATCTCCTGTCTTTTCTTTCAGAGTATAGTCTGCACGATGGGACTGAAATGGTATCCACACCCCGAACTGCTACACTGCATCAAAGGATGTGAAGTAAGAAATTGACCTAAATGAGATGTTATTTCCTCTAAAAATGCTGCATTTCCATGAGAAGACAACATGTGAACAAATTCCACTTCACGTCATCAAAAAAAAAAAACGAAGTGATATCATCTTCTCAGTTTATGTGAATTGGATAACCTGATTGGTAACCCTAGTGGCAAGGGTGGTGCCAACCCAGTAAATCACCTTATTAGAGTGTTTTGTGAGGTGAATAGTTTATGGTGTCCTCAGTTTGATTAACGGGTCCGGCCCACTAAGGGCTTAAAAAGTCACAATGAAAGATGAGGTCAATTGAATGCGCGAGATTCATCAGCAAATTTATCCACGGACCTCTAATTTATCCTGAAATACTCAAGAGGAAACTACCACTAGAATCTAAGGCGCCCTTGTTAATTCATCTCATTACCATTTTAAAAGGTGGCACTCACTTGTTAAGTTTTTTGGACTAACAGAATTCTCTCCTTGATCCATCTGGTTCAGCCGTTCATGGGAGACAACTACTGCGATTCGGTCAACAACAGAGCCTTCTGTAACTACGACGGAGGAGACTGCTGCCAATCCACTGTCAAGACCACCAAGGTCAGTGTCGTGCTTGTCAGTCAAGCTTGTGGGATTAATGTCAAACTTCAAACAAAAACTCTGGAGTCACACAAAGTTTAGGAATAAATCCCACTTCCCACATGTGATCTTTTTTCCCCTGAGACTTTGACTCGGTCATGTCCTCACTGCCATGCATTACCAAGACAAGGTACACAACTCAATATGCAATGCTGTTGAAGACTGCTCTATTCCCTCCTCCTGAAACGTCTGCAAACAGATCTTTCTTTCTTTCTGTTCACTTTTAGATTACTGGTGGACAGATTACTGATATCACATCCAAGAGAGTAGGAGTTTTCATACTTCATCAATAGTCTTTGTCCCTCTGTAATATTTAGTTTCCTAATGTGGAAAACATTTATTTTTCTCTTGGTGTGCCTGCGTTCATGTGAAGTTACTCATTTCTCAATGTGCGTTGTAATCCCAATATAATTGAGTTATTACAGACAAAGAAGATTATGATTATAAGAACTTATAAAATATGTGTATGAGATGATTGATAGAAAGACACATCTGATCGCACTTAATCAGCTGTCTAGTATTTCACTTTTAAAATCAGCATGACAAAACGTCTGTTCGTCCTTGTGGAAGTACACTAGGGGAGACAAGTCACAAGTCTACTGTAGATTCTGTGTAGCAGCATTTGCTTATCTGGTGTGGGCTGTTTCAGTGAATCTGGCAGGTTACTTAAGTTGTCCACCTGGCGTATCCATCGGGATGTCTGGTTGGACCTATAATGCAGTGTTTGTGTCTCACTGGCTGTGCTGGACGAGAGAGCCTTTTTATTTTCCACACAAGAGCCGAATCGCCATCTACCAATCAAAGTTCCTACGGTCCACCTTTACAATTTTTCGGCTGTTTATCTATATTATCTTTCCCTCCTCGATATATTTTTTTAAAGAGACTCACACATGCGCGTTATATCAAGTCCATGTCCAATAGGCTTCAATAAATTAATGTTTAACAAACTGTTTACTACATCTGTAGCATATTTATGCAGGGATACAGTTACAACAGTTACAAATTTGATGATTTAGTGGAATTACTTGGACTATTACCTGGTTGAGACCGCGTCAATTAAGGAAGGAATCCATTGCAGATTTGAACCAGTTCTCCTCGCACAGACTCTGCAATGAAACCATTGGTGTTCATAACGACCTTTGCATTAGAACATTTTCTCAGCAAATTTATTATGGAATTTTTTTTGGTCAAATCAGGTCTTCCTCACTGGTGGAACAATTTGGTATACAAAATGTCTTTCTTCATCGTCTTTGGCCGGTACAATAACCATTATGGTCAATCCAAAGAGTTCTACTTTCTGCAATGTTTTTTTAGTGCTACTGTAAACCGCATCTCTGTAAATATTATTTTGGTTCGGTGAGATGCTGCTGTGCTCCTTGCTCCTCAATGCGTCAACACTCAGCCACCTGCTGTCAACCAAACAAAGACATCGACATGCCCCTTCAGCCGGCAGAGCAAAAGGGGACACAGTAGGAACATTTCTGATGTTTTTCAAAAGACATTTAATGCAATGTATTTACAAGAGTAAAAAAGTTTAAATGCCTGATCGTGCCCACAGGCTGGCCCTTTAGTCCTTAAAGAGGCCTTGGTGGACCAGGAAGCAACCCCAATAGTAGATAGAAAAAAACACAATATGAGAATGCCACATATCTCTGGAAACATCAGAGCCTGAGCTACAAGGACATTAAACATTATTTGTCTAACAAAAAATCACTACCAAACTGTATATTTCACCCACCATCGATCGAAGCAACAAAACCGAGATAGCCAAAAGCGAGAGAACAACACACAGATTACAGAGATATCTGTATCATATATCCTCGTCAAACCTTCCCTCAATAAAGTGCAAACAAACACCATCTGTTAATTCAACATTCGGTGGATTTATGGTTGTTTTTCAATTGGGTTAGGGTTAGCCTAAACTAACCCAATTTTCCCCCAAAAGCCCCAAAATGTTTTATTTTGATGTATTGAACACTATAAGTAATATAGAACTGAAATATATGGTATAAATAGTATAAATATATAGACATTTCTATTTGGAAACTTCGCCTGAATTCTCAGACGCAGAAAGCGTCTCTAGATTTGTTCTGCTTCCTTCCATCAAAGTAAAACTTTTCACAGATACTGTCCACAACCTGGGCTTTTGCGTAAATTAGTTTTTAGCCTGGTTTCTCCATGTTTTATAGTAATGGATACTCTCTTTTTTTCAAGCAGATTTTGCAAAGTAAAAAACAAATCTGTGATCTATATTCATATATTTATCAACCACTAACATATATACTGATATTTCACAGCATAGCATTCACAATAGTTCCCCTTTATCCCACAGAAAATAAATTGTCCAAATAGACGAAGTAGTTGCAGAGTTATTACACATTGTATCATGGGTATGCTATTTTTGGTGCAGAGGCCAAAAATGGCATCAGGATATAGATTTGAATATATGGGCTTTAACTCATCTTATATAGTAAAAAATTCTCTCTGTACAGCTACGACATCCTTGTCCCCAAACTTGGACCTGAAACAGAAAAAAAACTCCCTAAAAACCCTTCTGTGCGGATAAAATAAGGAAGAAATCCGTCGGCTGAACATTACACTATGGATGTCACATGTACAGTATTGACTTACAAGTCATACAACATGTTTAATTCATAATACAGAAATATAATATATAATTATAATTTCTACCACTAGGCGTATTTCTGCTTGAATTCCTCACACTTGGACAAAAATAACACCGTGTCATTCTTGCTAATTATAATCATTAATCTTCCACATTGAAGATGAATGTTCTCCAGGCCGTCACAAAACGTCCAATCATTGAAATTGCACCTATAAACTATAGCGCCTTGCTACTCAGCTAGCCACAGAAATGACGTCCGGAGGTTCAGAAGGCTTCAGGCGACTTTTTCAAGTTCGATAGCAGCAGGGAAGTTGGTGAGCAGCCCACTGGGAAGCGACCTGCCTCCTGAAGATGTTTTGCCGCTGTTGATTGACGCTATATCATCTCTACATCTTTTGGCCCCAATCCAGTACAGGGGCTCAGCCAGAACTTGCGTAACTCACGTTTACCGACGGACCCCGCTGGGAGGGTACTTCCTATCAAATTACTGCAGCAACAACCCGTTAAGCCGGGTCAGAAAGGAGCAGGCCGTTGGTCTTGTTGGGATTTGTCAAGTTTTACATCAGAGGAGAGGACGGTCAGTTTAACCAAACGTCTTATGCTGAGAGGAATGGTAAGAAATCAATTCAGGGTATTGATCGTGAAGGTCTTTCTTAAAGATGTGCTCCAATCTGAAAGGTTGCTCATAAAGAACTCACACTTGCTCCAGATTCAATTTTGTTTCATTTGACCGTTTTTCAGACATTTTATTTAATCACAAATGTCAATGTCTGCTATTAATGGAATATGTTGAAATCTTTTAGACACTAGTTCAAAACTAAACACTAATTTAAATTGATACGTTGTCCTTATTATTGTCCTTCTTTTGATGAGCAACCAAAGAAACATTCACCAGGGAAAGATGTATTGCAAAGATCAGTTAGCAGGCTCCGTTTTAATCAAACAGTTACTCGACCTTGGTGTTTTCCCTTCCTTTTATTTATAAAACAGATGATTAAAAAAACATGTGTTCCGTTATTTCTTTACCACATTAATTGATGACTATGTGTACATGTGATTTCAGTTGGTCTTTAATCCTTGTTGAGGAATTTGGCCCAGGTTCACTTCTGGTGATTTTCGAGGCCAAGGATGCTACATGCCGATGGTCAATGGTAGTGTCTGCAAAAACAGGTGTTAGCAGTTTGCTGAAATAATAACTACAGGCTAATGGGGGATCAAGTTACTCACGTTGTACTTTCTTCTGTCATGCCAGCAAACACAGATAGGGTTCTTTTCCATCTACTAAAATATTCAGTGGGCTGCAGCAGCATGATACAGTAAGTGTTATCCCGTATCATACCGTCGCTTGGCTCAAAAACTCCACCCTGTTTGTCCAAATTTGACCTAAAAGCATTTTAGTCTAGCGTTTTTTAAAGAAAGCAGCCTGCATCATGTTTTGTGCTATTAGGCTATTTAAAAAGATATGAAGAATTGCTTTGAAATAACTAATCATAATTGGAATTATCTGCTGCCGGGACCAAAGGGTGAGGGACGCAACTGTGGGTGAGAGAGAAGAAGGAAACGGTGAGGAATTAAGCTGATAGGTGAACTTGATATAGGAGCAGAGGAAAGACAGATGTTTGATCTGTTACTTGTTAGTTAGTAAGAACATTGTCTAATCGATGCCGCTTGCTGTCAAACACATGTTGCTTCAGGCCTCAGCTAAACAAATAGGGGGAAGATAAACTCAACTTGAATGCTAGTTTTAAATCATTAAACAGAAAATCGTAACCTTCACTTTCATTTGTTTTTATTACTTTGATATATTTTGTCCACATTTGAATTCCCTCCAAACTTATTATCATTTTGTTTGCAAAAGCATTTGGATTCAGATGTTTATTGCTGTTGGTAAGAACGCATCCTCAACGTCATCCCCATTTCATTGTCTCCGTTATGAAAGAAACTGGTTGTTTTGCACCTGATTTTAATTTCGCCAAAAGTGAACAAATGCGTGGCAGGAGAACAAGGACCAAGTTGCATGAAAACCTATCAAAGCAAAACAATATATCACAATATATGACTAAAAGAATTCGCAACACATTTACGACTCCTCTGAGGTGCTGAACGCTGTAGGCCTGCTTAACTACTCAACTACTTTTTTTGGTGACGAGTTGCCGTTTTAAGTCAAATTGACTCCTCGTGGGTGCGCAACATTGAATTGAAACCCTTTTAATAAAAAATGTGTCCTTTTTGCGTCTTAAGTAAAAGTTTCTAAAAAATCTAATTGAATTGTGTTTAGTTTTTTAACAAATAAAAATAAATATGTAGCCCTTTTCAAAGTTTTCCAGAAAAGATG